TTGTACTTTCCGAAACAAAACGAGAAGCAAAATTCAGTCAACTTTTGAAATTTGCACTTAATCTGAATCGTGCGATGTACTCTAGCTCTCCAGCTGCACAACGTTCACACACACAAAATCATTAAAATTCATAAAAGAGATCAAGGGCACATTGTATCCAGGCAGTTCTCTCGAGAAGGAGGCAAAGCAGGGTTGGTGCAGGGTGTGGCCTAGGGAACAGTCCTGAAAGCCAGATAGAGGGGACTAGAAGGATCACATACAACCTTTTGGTGTGAGGTTCCCCATTCCTGGTCCATTTGTTCCTGAAATGCAAAGGTTTGGTTGCAAACTAGATAGATTTCTCTCCAATACATATGAGAAAGACTAAAGAGGACTACAGCCTAAATATGATACAAAATGAAAAGGTTGGTTGTATTAAAATTGTTACCTTTATATATAGAATCAGTTGCTTTAATACCCATGACATGACTGTAAAAATACAGAAAGTTATATGTTTATCTGGTTCAGTACCACGCAAAAATCTTGATCCCTTGATGTTTTTTATTTTTAAAAATCCAAGCAAACAACTTGATGCCAGCTGCTAACAGTAACAACACAGAATCTATTTTTGCATTTGATGGGAACGTATTTTAGCTGGCATTGGCAAGATTGCTTTTGCTCTCTCTTCCTAACCCATAATTATTCCCTGCTCACTCCTTTCTTAAGCTTTATTATGAATGTCAAAACATAGCCAAACATTAATGTACTGATTAATATACCCTGTAGTCATTGGGTATAATATTAAGACTTCTGGGGTTTTAATCATAATTATAGCCCATAGTTCAATTCACAAAAATGCCTGGAAGGTTGTCTAGGTACCTCTGCCCACACTTTTTGCAGTCATCTTAGGATCATGTTAATTTGTGTTTTTAAGAAAGTTTTAACAGGTTTTTTTAAAAAAAAATGGAAGTGGGTGGGAGGTAGATTAGAAGCCATTAGGATTATTTATAATTAAACTCCCATGGTGATATCCACAAAGCCCTGTTGCTATGCATCTTATGCTCATGCCATTGGGGGCTGTATAACAACAGTAAATCAGCCCCCCTGGAATTGATGGCCAGAGGGCTGCAATCAGGCGTGATGCTCACAAGGCAGAGCAAGTAATGTGTCCAAACCACAGCTCAGTGATGCTTGGGGTGGGGGCCTTAGTCATGATTTTCATGACTTGTAGAAGTTCAGCACAACCCTGACTTCTATGAAGGAAAACCTGAAAAACATGAAGGGTGTTTTTAAGGAGCAAGCAAAATGGAACAAAAATGGTTTGTGCGTTTTCTCAAAGGTGTTTGTCAAGCTTAAAATGTACCATGTACAACGAGGGAGCGTATGAACTCTCTGTTGCCAGTGACTCATCTTTCTGTTGAAAAGGGAGTTAGCTTTCTTATAAGACTGGCCCACAAACTTCCAGATTTGCCACTCAGTAAGAAGCAAGTAAATATGTAGCCACATTTTTCACATGGCAGTTAACGAGTTCTTAATTTAGCGGCTAAATTTTAGCCCCTTGCATGTGTCTGCCTACAGGACGAAACTGGCAAACAGCCCTTCATAGCTGACATTCTCTAGTTGCCAGGGGCTCAGCGCTGGTATTTCAGCGTTAGATGAAGAGACATTTTTAGAATGATGTTGTGATTAGGAACATTTCCACATAATCTCCCTTGATAGCTGCTTCACTCACTTTCCAGCAGCTGTGCTGTATTACAATAGGGGCTATGGACTCAAAAACTAAAGTTCTGGACTCACGTATCTCCTGTTAACTTTAAATTGGATGACACCATATTGAGCAGATGCAAGATTGCAGTTCTAATGTCCTATATACTTAACTGCCCCCCTTCAAAATACTATCTCCCGTGTGTGTGTGTGTGTGTGTGAAAATTTTGCATTGATCTCTCTGGGATGATTTCACTACCAGTTGTGTGTGGGTCTCTAAAGTAATTAAAGACAGACCGAATCTCTTAATAGGAGTGTAATTCCGCCCAGATTGTGTCAATTGATACAAACAGTGTTTTTTGTTTTTTTTAATTATGTGTTGTGGATGCCAGCACAAAATGGCTACCGTGGGCAAAAAAAGGAGAGAGGTGGTGGTACTCTGTGTTGGTGAGTCCTGTCACAAAAGAAGCTCTGTGCCATTATCAAACAGTTGCAGAATTTACCTTTGTTGACCACTTGAATGGAGAAAAGAAGGGTTTCTGTATCTTTCAGGGGCTATGCAGAAGAGGCTGTGCTACACAGGAGAAAAACTGCATGTTCTGACATTTTGTTAAGGGTATAGGAATACAGTTCTCTCCCACCATCCCACCCTATCTGTGTGCATCTGGCTGCTCTGTTTACAGTTTGAACCTGGGCGCGTAATGAAACTATGATTTACAGAAATTGTCAAATCCAGAGCACAGTATTGCTCACATACATAATCCTTAAGCACCACATTTGACTTTGTAAGTGTTAGGCTGATGTATAGTCTGTAAATATTTAACCCAATGTGGAAGCCTTCATGCTGACTGTGTCTTGAGGGATGTATTTTGCTTCATTGTTTATCATTTTCTAATGTTCCTGTTCCTCTGGTCACAAATGCCAGCAGGTAGCTTTCCGTTCACAACTGAATATGCCTGAAACGTACCAAACTAATGGTCAAAATTTGGCCATCTCTTCACTCCATGTGTGCATTTTGATTTAGTATGGCCCAGAATTTATGACCTCATTCTGAGCTGAGAGCTGTTATACACATTATGCAGAATAAGGTAGTAGAATTCTGGGTTGTACCACAGATAGAATATTGTAAGTTTTTTATGTTTCTTGTACAGAGAAGACTTCCTAGGAGTCGTGAATTAGCAAGTCGAAGACAGGACTACCTTGCATTTTCTCTCTGATGGAGTATTCATGCCACAGCCTACCACTGTATTCTGCACAGTGCCTTCAACTCAAGGCGTGCCTTCAGGCATGCCTTGGGTTGAAGACGGATGATGCAGTAACCATGCTACAGCTAAGTGCATCTGGGTCTCATCAGTGCCTGAATGGGATTTGAGATCCATGATGGAAGACAAGTGGGATAGAAATATATTGAAACAGGCAAATTTGATCAGTGCCTCTTATGGGAAGGCTATAATTTTTCAGATTCCAGAACCATAGCCAGGTTCTGCCAAATGCACAGTGGCAGAATAAGCATGTTGCAGAATGAGGTGGTAGAATCAAAATGTAGGCGGGGTGATACAGATCTGTTACGAATGCCCCTCAATGGAAAACTAGCACACCAGTGCTGCAGGTCTATTTTTTCTGCTTGCAGGGGTAGATTTCTGAAGGGGCAGCATGCAGAAAGGTGATCTCTCACCTGCAGTCTTAAGGGGTTCTGTCTATCCTTCTACCACATTTCCACTTTATTCTGGTGCATGAGTCCATCCTTCCTAACCTACTTCTATATTCTCTGGAACAAATCACACACCCACACAAATATGTAAACTTAAGTTATTTATGTAGCTTAGGGATTTCCTGTGTTGGCTTTGCAAAGGGGGGGATGTCCTCCAGCCAATGTAGACGAGGTATGGCTGCCCTTGTGGGCTTGACCTGCTCCCCCTGAAAGTCCACTGGGAACTACGCCTCCTTGTTTCTTGGCATGGCCCCCTGCTGCTATTGCTGGCTCCAGCGTTGCACTTAGGAGTCTTATCTGTACTTGGACAAAAGTCACGTTCCCATGGGTTTGACAGCCACAGTATTGCCAGATACACAGTCACCCGCCAGAAGATCCCAGTCCTATCCTAAAATGCAGATGCTTAAAATAATGTGGTCAATCAAGAAAAAAGCAAATTTGTTTGTGGTTAGGATTAAACTAGGATGCCCCGATTGGAAACAAAGCTCTATTATATGATCAATGTAACAGACCGTCCTCAAGGGAAATCCATAAAATCCCATTTATCCCACCAGCTGGAAGCAGTTGGATGTACTAACCAAAAACTGTGTTAGTCTGGGCTACAAAACACTCTCTACAAAGTCTGCATTTCTGAGCTAACATTTGGACCTTTTGATCTAACCAATTTCAGTTTCCTTTTTAAAGTTTATCTCTGCAAGAAACAGCTTGGTTTACCTTGGCTTCATTCTAAATTTATATTTGAGGCTGCCCAGAGCCCCCGGCTCTTAACGAGAACAACATTCCACTACAGACCATTTGCGTAGACTTAAGTGCAGAGTCTACCCAAGTTCTGCATGTATGCATATTTCATTTTTCTTCTTCAGAAATTGCTCATAGCTTGCAGTCCATTCAGTTGGAATAAGGACTCATTAATGAGAAATTTTAATGGGAAAGTAAAAGTTTGGCCTAGAAATACACCATATTCACTTCAGACTTTAATTATTAAGTATATCTATTTATGCTAGTGTAATATTCAGTGCAATCTTAAAACATGTTTACCCTGAATTAAGCCTGACTGAGTTGAATATGGCCAAGCTCCCTGGTGAGTGTGCTTAGGACTGCAGCGTGGGATGCATTAAAAGCAGCGACTGAGATGGAAGAATACTGCCAATGGCACGGGGATATCCACCATCACTTCATCCAGTGTGCAGAATAACACTTTGCATGTATAAAGCACTTTATAGCCGTCAAAACACTTCACCTCTATTGCCTCAGAATTCTTGCAGCCACCTTGCTATAGCGTGTTTGTCTGTTTCTGAGATTGAGAGATAGCGGTTGGGCTAAAGTAATCTAGGAAGGCAAGTTCTGAACTTGGAACTTGCATCGGCCCATGCTTATCACTCTTGCATGTTGAAGTCCAAGTTGTTTGCAATTTTAAAATGGTATGGAACTGTATTCCTGGTTGCGTTATTTGTCAGGGAGAGCTTGCATTTCCGCATCTGAGGCATCTGCCGATGTGGTACTCACACCCATCTCACCACAGTAATATCTAAAGGAAAAGCTGCACAGAGATGTGCAGCTTTTCCTTTAGATATTACACCAGAAAGCAGAAACAGGAAAAGTGAAATCATGAATTGCTTGTTCATACACTTTGACTGTTTCAGGGTAATGTCTGAATTTGCTGTTAGAAATAAAATGCAGAACCGGGACCTGAAGCATAAATAATAATAAATAAATAAATCCAGGGATTCTTCACTACCATGCCCAGCAACACAACAGCAAGACACACGTGTGTGTGTGTGTGTGTGTGAGAGAGAGAGAGAGAGAGAGAGAGAGAGTGTCAGTCAGTCATGCCAAGTTTCCCTATCCCAATTTGGTGCACTTCTCCCCAGTGTACACTTATACAGTGCAAAGGTCTGTAGAGAGGGATCATTTCACAACTAGGGTGGTATGTGCAAATGCTTCCATGGAATTTGGAATGCTGGTTGTTCAGGCTTCCAAATTCCGGGGAGTTTTTGTGCACAGAAGTATACACGCAAAAAAACAATAACCCCTTCCCAGGGCAATTTCCACTGTATGTACAGATGTGGAGGAGGACCTAGATAAGAGTGTATGACACTGGAGGCAGGACTACTAGGTGTATCCTCACTTCTTGTTCCTTTAGGGTGAAGGGCAAGAAATAAATAATAAACTTACTGAAAACAAGAGTGAAAAAGTCTTGCATAGGGCTAATGTAGAGCAGCAAGTTAAACAACCCTCTGCATTCTACCTGCTTCCCATCTGCTGCGGCCCTGCTTTTAGGTCCTTCCCCTCCCCTACAAAGACGTTTTGTGCCTTTTGTAAAATGGGGGGGCTCCTCTGAGCAGGTGGGCACCTCTGTATTGTTTCTCCGTGGCCCTGTTGTGTCTGCAGTCCTGTTGGCACTCGCCAGCTGAGTGTGCTTTTAGGTGGAGGGTTGATTGTTCAGGACAGCTGTGTGTCTGCATTCTGGAGCCAGTGCAGCTCCCCTTATGCAACAGGCTTTGAGTAACAGCACTGTCTGCCATGGCATTACTTGTTTATAAGAAAAGGTTGTCTGATTATTCCCCCAGATAGTGCTGTTACCTCCCTTTACAGGAGTATGAAAGGATTTGTTCCCACTTCTACTACTATCTGACTGGGCTTTAATGTTCTTGATTACCAGTGACCCAAAAAGTCTGCTGAGCATCCCTTTTATGGAGTGTGTGCCGGCAAAGCTTGAAGTCTTTCCTTCCCTCTAGGCTTCACTCTGTTATTGTGTCTAGTCTGTCAGCTGAAATGCCGTATTTCGTTCATTGTGCTTTGCAGGGAAATGCTTGATCTAATAATGTTTTGAATATTTTAGAAAGGTTTCGATATCAGAAAACCCAGGAATATTTGAAAAGGTTGGAAGCTTTGCAGTGCATGTTTTTCATCATTCAGATCTTCTAGTTCTGATTTTCCTCTTAAACTAGTTTCTTGCTCCCCCCCTCCTGATACAATCCATGAACTGTACACACACACACACACACACACACACACACACACACACACAGTATTGTATGAAGGTGCTTGAAAGATATACCATTGGAAAGAGAAAATAGTTAACTGTCTGGATCCATTTTTCCACTCAGTGCTTTGCACATGGTTGCTCTGGAGCAGTTTCCCCCATCCCAGGTCCCCGGTTGTTAGAATCCTAGAATTGCAGAGTTGGAAGGGACCCAGAGGGTCATCCAGTCCACCCCTGCAATGTTGTTGGCCTACAATCCCCTCCTCCCATTATCTCCAACTACCATGGTGAGAAGTCCAGGAGTTATAGAGTGCAATGACATCTGTTGACCAAGGGTTGGAGAAGGCTGCTCTAGAATCATCTGTTTCAGACTGAATGGCTTCCATATGCCTGTCTCTTCCTCAGGAATCCCATGGGCCTGCCATTCTGAAGAAGCTGAGCCTTCAAAGCATGGATTTGGGAGTTTGGATTCACAGTAGGGGGATGGGACATCCTTCAGCTCCTTCTCTTCCCTCAGATGTGCTCACAAACCTGCCATGAGCTCCCCCCTGGTTACAAATATTGATGTAAGGCAGAGAAGGCGGCCGGATGAAGCCCAAGGGCCCAGCCTCATCCGGCCTTCAGCAGAGCCCCCAAAACTTCTGCTTTCTCACACACCTCAGTAGCTTTCTCACAAGCTAAGTCATAGGCAAAGGCTTATTATTATTCCTATCTGGCTTCCAGCATCTTCTGAAAGAAGGTAATCATGCTTAGCATATTTTCAGATTAAAGTAATGGGCACTTTTCACTCTACATGTCTTCCCTACATTCCCTACAGCATGGCTTTCTGATATGGCTACGGTAATATTGTCAATATCTAAATCAGGTGTGGAGGACATTTTGCCCTCCAGATGTTTCTAAACTGCAACTCCCATCAGTCTCAGCAAGCATGGCCAAGGATGATAGGAGTTGCGATTCTGCAACATCTGGAGGGCCAAAGGTACCCCCACATCTGATCTAAACTATACAAAAATCCACAGGCCTTTTAATATGTAGTTCAATTCAGGCAACCCTTCGAATGGGGTTAAAAGCAGTGGGCAATTTCTTTCTAAATCAAACAAACTTTTTAAAATAGAAAAGTTATTCGTTTCATCAGAGGTGAAATGAGGAACCATTTCAGTGAACTTCTTTAGGATTTTAGAATTTATGATAGAAAGCTGGACATCAGATGTGCTGCTCTTTGTCAGTTGGAATCAGTAAGCAATCTTGTTTTTGTTCTGCTGAATAACTTAATTCAATATCATTTCAAGCAACTGTGGTTCTTCCCAATAACTTTCCTGTTGTTTTTAACTGAAGGGAACATTGTGCTGCTTCAGGAAGATAAGGCTGACAAGAAGAACGAGAAACTATTTACTGAGAATTATCACCTGTTTTTTTTTCTAGTTATAAAACTGCAGAGAATAGTTTCATTGACTTCTTATGTTTGGGAACTGCTCAGTAGTTAACAAGGTGTTAATAATGTGTTTGTTCAGTCCCTTCTGGACAACCTGGACCATAGAAACAAAAGTTCTCTTATTTTATTTGTTTGTTTTAAATGTCATGGTTTGGAGAAGGCTAAAATTCTATCCTATCAGTCAATCAACCACAATATTTATCTGGATTAGTCAACATTCACCAGCTTTCAAAAAGGATGTTAAATTTAACACCTGATAAATACCTTAATCCTAAATGCATTTGTTTGGAAGCAGGTCCCATTGACTTCCTTGGATATTCATTTTCAGTAAGGACAGTTCCACTGTGGGAAACATTGATGTTTCTGGTAGAAAATACATAAAATGTGGGCATCATACAGGAATCTGGATAACACTGGACATCCGTGTACCCCATTAACCCTTTACATGCTTGCTGCCTTCAGTGGTGAAAAGTAGAATTTCTGCTGAAACTGCCCAGATAAAAGTTCCAAAGAAGAAATGAGCATCACAGGCCCTCTGAATTCTTCCTCTCAGATTAAAATCTGAGCCAGATAAGAATTCCTGGTTGACTGGCTGTCCCTACAATTAATTCCCCCTCCCACATTTCCCTTCAGGCTGCTTTGTTATGTACTGAAGTTCTCACCCTGGGCCAGCAGAAGAATACTGTAGATAGTTTTCACTCAGGTCCACATATGCAAATAAGGAATTGAAAGTGACGTTCAGTGATTGGATAGTTACAGAAAGTTGTTACTGTTGTGTTGTAGTGGAGCTCTACATAAGCAGGCTGGCTGAACCCTTCAGTTCAGTTCTGTTCTGACCTGTGAATAAACAAGAGCTGTCTGAAGAATCGCTATGTTGTCTGATATGTTCACCCACAACTTAACATACTTGACTGAGTTAGTGGCAGGAGCAGTGACTCTCTGACCTTTCTAGCCAGCTGCTGCATTGACCCCAGTGGCTCTTGGGGAAACCCAGTTTTCGCAAGACATTCCCTGAAGGCCTGTCCTGGATGCCAGTTCTGCTACTGGCCCAGCCAATAAATGTGATTTGCAGGAAAAATGGAAGGGGTGTTCGGGTACCGGGGTTGGGCGCGACGGAAGGAAGTTTTTGGAATGGCTCAACTTATTTCCAGTCTAAACTTGTTTCATCCACATACGCGGTTCGTTGTCCACACAAAGAACATGTTCAAATGTTTATCTTTAAGGTGACTTAAATCTCTTCCAGGTGTAATATAAAGAAGCAAATCAGATTGAGGCAGGAGAACTAGAAGAAGGATTGGGGTGGGGGAAGAGAGAGACATGATTTTGGCTCCTTCTGCTCAGGGCCCTAAATTACATTTTGGTGCATTTCTCATATTCTTTAATTTGTTCTCCTTCCGTTGCCCTCGGTTGGGAATTTTAAGTGTTCATCATTTTGTTTCAAAGCCAGGCTTCTTTTCCCTTTGAACTTATATAACCACTGCCTGCTCAGGTGGACTTGGCTTCACTCCCATTTGATAATCTTCCAGGTCTGGCCAAAGGAAAGGAGAAATGTGTGAGTGTGTTCACAGAGAGGAAAGAGCTGAGGCAGAGAACAGAAAATGGGCTACATAAAAAGCCTTTCTCTCTCTATATATATATTTGCTACTACCTTGGCAAAGTAAGATAAAAATAAATTGAAGCTATGTGCTGTGCTCCAGGGTCTTTCCTGGGCATGAGCTGTAACTTGATGGTGTTTTTTATACACGTATATACAGAGAGTGCCCTGGAAGGAAAACGGGAGCAGTGTTTCACAGCAGGGTCTTATTTATTTCCTTAACCACAAAATTTATGTACTGCTTGAATGTAAATGGGAATTACTTATAAGTAAACATGTATAGATTTGCACTGTTAGGTCAAAATTCTAGGCACACTTACTAGTGAGTAAGCCTATATTAAGTACTATGGGAATTACTGCCAAGTAAGCCTGAATATATAGACAAACAGACATTAGGCCATTATAAGTTTCAGTGCCATCCTGTGTGGATCTAGTCAGACCTAAGTCCCACAGAGTTCAAAGGAACTTATTCCCAGATTAGTGTGTATGGGATGGAGGCCTTAAAATATCAAAGAAAGAAATCCTTTTCTTGACAGCAAATTAAAATTAAGGAAAAGCTGCCAGAACGAAATGATGGAGGGGAAGTCCAGTTTACTCCATTATGAATTTTGCTCTCACCCTATCATTGTTTTTATACATCAAGTTACTTCAGACCTGCAATATTATCACGGTGCTTTAATGTTTAATTCACTTTGATTTGGTCCACAGAAACAGCAAGTGTTTCTTCAGGCAAATCCAAGGCATCTAAGAAGCCCTGCTGAGAATATAACTCTCTAGAAAGAACCACAGAGAAAACAGAGGAGGAGAATTTATTGGTGTTTTTTTATTTCAGTCGTGAAATTGAAAACTTCTTAAAAATTATTTTTGGGGAAAGAAGGTAGAGTCTCCCCACCTACCATAAAATAACTCCTTCATCTTGCTGCACATGTGACCTCTCTTGGGAGAACTGGTAAAATAGGCAGGTGTGTAATTTTGGGAGAGGAGAAAGAAACCCATCAGTGTTGTAGAAAGTGCAGTGGAAAATGAAGACTTAGGTGTGAAAGTGTCCGTGCTGGTAGCAGCTCATGAATAAACCTAACATGGAGATTATTCTCACAAAGAGCTGCAGTTCTAGGTGGCAAGTCCCTGTGAAATCAATGGGACTGGCTTTTGGGTAAACATCACCTGTTTACACCAGGTGATGGGGAACTTGTGGCCCTCCAGGTGGTGTTGGACTTTTAACTCCCATCGTCCCCAGCCAAAATGGTCGATAAGGATGAAGGGAGTTGTAGTCTAGCAACATGTGGGAAGCCACATGTTATCCACCTCCACTTTGACATTATGGCCGAAATGGAGAGGGTGTGTCCAGGAGTTACTTAAAATAGGAAAGTTCGCATGCTACATACTATGAACTCCTTCTTTACGGAAGTGAAGACTATCAGAGGCAGGGCTTTTTTTTCTTTTCAGGGGGAACTCACAGGAACTCAGTCCCGGCACCTCTCAGGTGAGTGCCGTTGCCATTCTAAGAGAACGAGGAAGGTGTTCATCACTTCTTTTTCATCATCATTCTTCTTCTAGAAAAATAGCACTGATCAGAGGCTTCTAGTCATGATGGCTGTATAGTTCCCTCTAGGATCTGATGTGGCCTGGTTCTGAATATCAGTTGCTGAGCAACAGATCCGCTCATATCATGCTATCTATCTTCATCTGGGCATCTGCTTGGCCGCTGTGATAGCAGGATGCTGGACTTGATAGGCACCGTTCTTTTTATGAACCCACCTGAGCCTTACGATTAGCATCAATGGCACTGGTTATTTGACAGGCACCAAGAACGCAGCCTTTTTGAGGGTGGTACCAAATTTATGAAACTCTTTCCCTGAAGTGGTCCAATAAGCTCTTCCTCGTTTTCGGTTTAGACCATTGTCGTTTTTATTCCAGAAGGCATTTTATCATTGATTTCTGCTGGATTATTTTTTTTAATGTTGATTCTTGTTTTATTCTGTTTTTATATTTTTGGGATGTGGTTTATTTGAAGCTTGTGTTTTTATTTTTCTATAGTGGTTTCATTTTGTAAACCACTTTGAAAAATCTGGCACTGTATAGGACAGAAAAAGGGAGCAGGTTTATTTAATTTTCTCCATGCCATTATAGGATACCCCCAGTCTGGTGTGGGTGTGGGTGTGGGTGTGGGTGGGTATTCTGTGAAACATCATTGATGCAAGAATAGTGCATTCATGGTGGATTTATACTGGGCTGTCCATGCATCATTTCCTTTTATTAGTTGTTGTGTGATGAGTCTCCATTGTTCAGCCAGCCGCTTGAAGCTGTTTCCTGGGGCCACGGTTGTATGCTGACAGCTTCTAGGTACCACAGGTGAGAGCTGAGTGCAGGGTGGGGTCCAACAGTGGACAAACTATTATTATTATTACTATTTATTTATTTATTTATTTATTTAAATTTATATACCACCCTATACCCACAGGTTTCAGGGCGGTTCACAGGATAAAATTACAATATAAAAACACAGAATACATAATCAAAATAAAAACAGAAAGAACCAAATAACCCTCCCACCAAAAAAAACCCCATACACTTTTAAAAGGGGGATTGAACATACAAACCAGTTAAAAACAATTGATTTTTTTAAAGGAAAAGAATTAAAAAGCAGTTTAAAAGAATGTAAACTACCCCAGAAGGAGCATGTTTTGTTCTCTACCAAAAGTACTACCCCTTCCCTAAACCTCCCCCACCCCTATCAGATAGTAAGCAATTGTAAAAACAGGAATCGGAAGGTAAAAATAAGTGGACAGTTTTTCCTAATGGGAGAAATGGGGGGGGGGGAGGGAGTGAAGACTACTCTGTATTTTTCATAATTCTTTTAACTTAATGTTTGGACTAGGCAGCACACCACAAAACAGCCAAGTTTGCAAATGGCACGAAATCATTTAGGATGGTGAAATCCCAGGCACTTTGTGAAGAGTTCAAAAGGATCTCTCCAGACTGGGAGAAAAGGAGGATTCTGTGTCAGCAGTGTGATTCATTTTGAGTCCTAACAACAACAACAACAACAACATCTTTATTTTGTATATGCACTTGAAGGAGTTTAAATTGACTGTGGGACAAATTCCGTGTTATGATGATCATACATTTCAAAAAGTATGCTTAAGCTAGCCACTTTTACTTAGAAGGGAAAGTGATTCATATTGGGAGCCCATGCCAATTGCCTGCCGGCTGCTCATTGTTTCTGAAGGTGCCATTAGCACTAACCAGCACTGCTGGGGGCTGTTTGGGCAAAAAAGTGGCGTGGGTCCTGATTCAGATTGACAGCACATTCCAGATTGGGGTCCCACATAGCTGCTTCTCTTTCAAAATGTAAGTAGATAGCTGAAGCACAACCCCCCCTCCCAGAATAATGTTACATCTGACCGCTCTGGAAAGAGATCTAGTAGTTTGTGGTTGAAAGGCTACTGGAGGTGTCCTCCTTCGCAATGGGAGTAATGGGGTGTAACGCAATGTGACTGCTCAGAATGCTTTTGACAAAATTCTAGTCTCATTGGAGCCATGGCTACCTTTGTTGCCCTACTTGCAACCAATATTTCACCCCTTTTTGGGGCAGCATTCCATTATTAAGGATACATGGAAGGACATTTAGAACATAGCAAAACTGACTGCTAAAGTAGTTGATTTATGAAGGGAAATTACTGAGTGCTTATTAGCTAGGTGCTTTATTATGAACAATAAGGCTCTGCAATTACTGCTGTTTCTTTTATTAAAAATCATGATGGGCCTGTTTTATTTATGGAACATCAAGAATGTGTTAGATTCCTGTGAAATAAAGCTTCACAGCAGGCCGACAAGGGAGGCAATTATTTTTGCATGTCTCTTGCAGATGAGTAAACAGCGCAAGTGACTTCTCCGTGGTGACACAATAAGTT